GCATAACAAATAACTCATTGCAGTTTACTTTTGAGATAATTTCGCCCGAAAGTAGTTGAATTCAGTCTAGGTAATATTACTGGAAAGAGTTCTAGATGGAGTTAGATGTTATGAAGATTAATGTCATATTCTCTTTGTGATTAAAATGAATAAAGTCATTTAAATGTAAAAATATGAGTAAAATAATCGTTGACTCACCTGGGATGCCACCAAACTAATGAGTAGCAGTGTAAAAGATCTTCGACTCAGCATTTTTCTAGCTTCGACATATCGAATATTTACTGTAAACGTATCAATTGAAGGGAATTGACAAACTGTTTGATGGACATACGGATCGAATGCATGTTCTTATATACTTTTCAAGTGTGCTCACGTCAGCAAGCAACACAGTAACGTAGAATTTAATCCACGTATAATAACAATTCCAATTAAAATGCACATGACTTTATCGCACACAATATTTTTATGGAAAAAATGTCAAACAATTAATGGAATTACAATTCCACCTGTGCACTGCATGCACATGTGCATAATTTTGTGTTTCACATCAAATGGATCGTATCGAAAATACCAGATATTTACATGCATTCCTTAATCACCTTCACTATGGTTGGCAAAATACCGCAGTTCTATCACATTGGATTACAAATTCAAGTAAATGCTTTTCACTCTTGATGCGTTGAATGGTATTACTATGGAACGTGGCTATTTGAATATGGAAATGTTCACATCTTCGTAGCATGTTCCGAACACATTCCGTTTCAATGTCGTTTCAAAGTTAAAAAAATAATCACCGATGGATCGTGGTTTACATACGGTAAATATATGAATATGAATGATCATTGATCAAACGACACGGTGAATATACCTTTGCCTCACATTCAGGCTCACATACCACAGATGCGTTGGTTCGTTTAATGGCTACAATGTTAGTCAATGCAAGGATATATCTCCATAGAAAATTCGCGCTCGAGCATAATAAGCGTCGACACTAAGAACGGTTGGTCTGACGCTCTGTGTGTACAGTATAAGGCAAAACAACACTACTACATGCGCGCGTTGCTTCATCACACACAGTTCGTTATAGTGACCGCGCTCGAAGAGTGTGCATTGTGCAAAGGAGAAATAATACATAAGTACGACGCTCATCTGACACCTCGTCACACAGATCGTTCTCATATAAGAGCGCCGTATGTATGTATTATTTCCCCTTTACACACTCTTCGAGCGCGGTCACTATAACGAACTGTGTGTGACCAAGCGTCGCGCACATGTAGTAGTGTCGTTCTGCCTTATACTGTACACACAGAGTGTCAGACCAACCATTCTTAGTGTCGACGTTTACTATGTATGCTCGAGCGCGAATTTTCTATGGAGTATACGGAATCATATTTACAATACATCACTCAATAGAGTACAAATTTAGTGAATTGGCAGACAAACGCAATATATCCGATCATGCAAAATGATCCGATCATCGAACTGGATGCAGAGAATAAAGCTGAATCATACCGATCTGTGGCACCATAATGCTAATCTTACCATCTGATGCGTCATGAATCTTGGTATTTTTACCTTTATCATGCGTTCATTATTATGTGCCTAAATGAATGTTATTTTCGAGGAGTGAGACACGTAGAATAGGTTCCTTATTTTACTTCAATGTTTCTCAATGGTATTGTTGTTATTTCTGTCGTCCGTTGTGAGCTTTTTCATTTGTTTTGTTAGTGCGATTTTGGACTAGTGAAATAGCGAGGTTAGTGTTTTTAGCGTTTGGAATATTTCGTATCTCCCTCTCGGTTATAATTACACACATTTTAAGTACACACTAGAACTTGAATTTGATAATGACTTTGTCTTCACTAAAATCGTATTTAGAAAACCATGTAAAAATTGTGGTAAGAATCAGAAAATAATGAAATTCTGGCATTGTGTCAACGAATACGAAAAATTTGAACGAACCATTAAAACAGCCACGAATAGAACTCGAACAAAAATTAACCGAAAAAGAAAACATCGAAATAGAGCAAAAAAGAGAAAACAATACAAACGATTTGTTGGAAAAGAGTAAAAATGTTTTATTGTTCAAATGTTAAACCGAAAACTGCTGTAAGAGGGCGATACGGATTTAAGTTAATATTTTTTTTAAATAGAAATACACTGACAGTCAAGGGGGACGGTTTCAACAGTTAATACAGCTCACTGGCCAATCAGCATATTTGAACATTTTAAATCTGTAGAAATTGCAGATCTATTAAAGCTTCAACGGAATTACTATGAACAAATACCATTGCTTTAAAAGCAACATTTAATAAATAAACACACCAAATCGACTCTTGAGATAAAAAAGAACTTATTTTTTTTCAGCCATTTTTTGGCGTGGATTTATTCGAATTTTTTATTTGAAAGTGACCGAGAGGTCACTTCAAACACAATCGAAATTTATGTTGTGTTTTTGATAAAATATTGAATGATGTTCAAACCAAGCAACTATATTGGTTGGTATGGTCAACGAGATTGACAAAGAAAAACATATCGAATCAAAGCACTTGTCCAAGGAGATATCGAGCCAACTTATTGTGACCTGAAAAATAATATACCAGATTGTAAAATTATAAGATTAATGAATTATTCGATATAACCGCTTTATAATTTAGTGAAAATAACCATTTTCATGTGCCAGGTGGATCGGTGCCTTATTCGCATTATTTTTAACACCAAGAAGGGCTCCTCTATCAACGAGAAGTTCAGCAACATCCTTGTGACCTGAAAATACAGATCGATGAATAACGTCAAATCAATAAATCATATTTGAGTGAGAATAATAGTTCCATTCCAACATTACCATTCTTCGCAGCTAAATGAAGAGGTGTCTCTTTCTCATGATCTTCAATATCAATAAGAGCCCCGTTATCGATGAGATGTTTAGCGATTTCATTGTGACCTGAAAATAAAGTTTAGGTCAATGAAATAGATTCTTATAAAACATAAATGCTCGCAAATACCATTTTCAGCTGCTCTATGCAGAGCTGTCTTTCCCTTTGCGTCTCTTAGGTTTACTGAAAATTGAAAAAAAAGATAGTAGAATCGAAAGAAAATGGCTTATATTCGTAAGAAGAACTTTTTGTGTGTCTTAATTTGTCAATATTGACATTTCAAAAATCTTAACAATCTACTTGAAAGTTTTAAATTTTTGAATTTATGTAAAAATTATTATATCAATATATATATGTGTAACCCAAGAACAATAATCGACGCTGGCCTATGTGCCACCGTGTATGACACTGTGTACCGCATAATCTATAAGAAATGTTGAATGATCACAGATTGGAGTAAACATTGGTTTCACCAAACCGATCCATCCGTGTATTGTTATATATTATAGCCGGAGAGCGCATACACCTATGTAAATCATACACATCTGCATGCACTCTCCGACTATACATGCGACGACGTTGCGCTAATTACGGCATTAGCCGAATTAGTCGCGACGTCATGCGCATCCACTCAGTCACAACACAACCTTCAACCAAAGAACAATGAACAAAGAGTATATATCCAAACACATCAAACAACTGTGTTTATTATATCAATACATCATGCTCCTTCCATCACTATAATATAGTACAATGTATACTATAATGTACATCGAAAAGTGCTTTTTATATGGAATTTGAGAGTGAAACTTTATGAAGAAATGTAGTTCCAATCTTACCGTCTGGCATCTCACCGTCATTCTCCTTCTTTAATGGTGTTGGTGATCCACTCACATCCATGATTAGGAACTGTGGAAATAAAAAGATTGAATTGAAATGAGAACAATGGATGGGATTGGAATGATTTGCAACAGTTTTTCATTCGCATGAAAGTTTCGGATGGACATAATTCTTTGAATGGAAAGTAATTTCTTCTCTTTGAAAAGCTTCAAAATGGAAATTTTTCAGGAACGAAATTAGCTAGGGGAATCACACACTTTCCAAATGGTGTGAATCTTACGAATCTTATGAATCTTTTGTTTACTGAAATGCAATATGGCGACTGACAGTTCTGTCACCATTTTCAATTTGGATTCACGAGATTCATCATATTCATGACGATTCATTCACAGTAGTGTGTTGAATCTGCGTGAATCTTTTGAATCTGTGTGTAAACTTAAGAATATTGTTTGAATTTGGAATAAGACTTCAATCATACAAACTGCATTGAATGATAAATTCCCCTAGGAAATTAGTATATAGCAAAAATTATCTCAAACTGTCCGCTAAATGAATCGAATGGAATAAATTCGATCCAAAATTTGTAAGTGAAAAAATCCAAAGCAAAATTAGAATTACAAAAAATGACTAAAATTGTCAACTCACCTGGGATACCACCAAGCCGACGAGTAGCAGTGTAAAAGATCTTCGACTCTGCATTTTTTCCAGCTTCGAACTATCTAAAGTTTACAGTAAACGTGTCAATTAATAAGAACTGTTTGATGGACATACGAATCGAACGTATCTTCTTATATACTTTTCAAGAAGGATCACGCTAGTGAGCAACACAGTAACGGTATAATTTAATTCACGTGCAATGACGATTATAAATGCACAAAATACTAACGCAAATGGATCGCATCGAAAACACCAGATGTTCATGTTCATTCCTTCATCAAGTTCATGATGGTTCAAAAACACCGCAGTTGGATCACATTGAATTGAAAATGTAAGCAAACATTTTCCACTTTTAAAGTGCGAGTGTTGTTCACTCGACGTTGCTATTTGAATATGGAAATACAGCGATTTAAATTTCACGATTTGTCCTTGTGCTGTTCACGTGATAATATTCTAATGACTTTATTGGAATATGGAAATGTTCACATCTTCGCAGCATGCACAAAACACACTCCGTTTCAAAGTCGTTTCAAAGGTGAAAAATAACCATAGATAGATCTTTATTTACATATTGTAAAAATGAATAATTAAACGATACAACGTGCTTCTTTGCATGGACGTATTACATACCACTATTATTATTCAAAACACTGACAAAATATTTTCTTACATCCTTCCTGATGTTACGTTTCGAATTATGATCTAATGTTAGAGTCAAAGCACTCTGCAGCCAACATGGATCGGCCTAAACTGACTGCAGATTGAATTTTCGTCGATTTATCTACCAATATACATTGAATGATGACTTTTGCAATTCTATACTCACAAATTAAACGTATAAAAGCCGTACTTAGTAGCACTTTCCATAGAGATATTCTCTAAAGACGTTTCAGAGCTATTATGTGTATGCTGTATGACCATTCAAAATGAACCGGCCATTGAACTTAATACAGAAAATAGAGCTTGCATCATACTCATCTGTATCACAATGCTAGACTCACCTATAGATGTCTCATGAATTTTGATGTTTTTACTTTTATCACGCGCCTAATGCCTGAATGTATGCTATTATGGAGCAGTGAGACAGGTGGAATATAGGATTCTTGTATTACTTCAATTCTATGACTGATAGTGTCAAACGTAAATGCACAACAGCGAAAAGTCACATAATACTAAACGCATCCATTCTTAATAGGAACCTAATGTAATTTTTTCGCGCGGAATTTGAAAACAATGAAAAATGAATGGGTGCGTTTAATATTATTCAGCATACTAGCGATGGTCGCTTCAATTTTTCCCAATGTTGTTGTTTTTGTCATCCGCTTTGTGTCGGATCTTCTATGTTTAGGCAGATAGAAAGGAAGCTACCATGCGCTGTGCTAATACTAACGAAGTAACGAAGATTCGTACAAAACGTAACAAAAAATCCCAACATTTCGTATGGTAGCTCTCTTTCTATCAAGTAAAACGGACGGATATCAGTACTATCTGTTTTTTCCTTTTCTTATAGCCAGGAAAGAGGAGTATACATTGATGAATAAGTTGATTTGAAAAAAAAGGAAAATTATATTATTCTTCATATAATTTATTCATTTTTCAAGCATTACATACACACTGCAAAATCGCTATGCAAATACATAGCAAATGAAATGCACTGTACCGCATACTAGCTCAACTATGCGCTGTTATTTTGTGTGCAAAGCTCATTGTTGCTGACGATACCAATTTGTTATGATTAAAAAAAATGGAGTACAGGAATAGAGGGAAATCATCCGATTATTCAGCTTATTCACATTCGTCCACCCTTCTCATGGAGATATTTAGCCATCTTCCCGTGACCTATGAAATAACACAGATCAATGAAAAAGATCAAACCATATTCTTATTTAGCAATGAAAATAAATATTCAAAATTACCATTCTTAGAAGCTAAATGAAGAGGTGTCGCTTTCGAATGATCTTCAACATTAACTATGACGTTATTCTTGATAAGAAGCTTAGCGACACCTTTATGACCTAAAAAATATTCCAGATCAAATCAATTTCTAATTCAGTGAAAATTAATGTTCAACATTACCATTCATAGCAGCATAATGGAGAGCAGTCTCATTCAAATGATTTCCGATATTAATATTGGCCCCGTTATCGATGAGAAGGTCAACGACATCTTTATGACCTGCAAAATAATCCAGATCAAATCAATATATCATATTTAGTGAGAATAATAATTCAAAATTACCATTCTTAGCAGCATAATGAAGTGGAGTCATATTCAAATGATCTCTTTCATTGACTTTGTCTCCTTTACCGACGAGAAGTTTAGCGATGCTCTTGTGACCTAAAAAATAGCTCATGAGTTTTGAATTTATTTTAACACAAAATATGTGATATCAATTTTAAAATATTTGGGAACGATGTAAAAATTAGTTAGAAGAATGCAAATTAGGACGATTGAAATAGCGTGAAAATGATTTTTAAAATTGATATCACAAATTTTTTGTTCGCTTCCACATTTTGTGTGGAAATAAAATGACAAACAGTCATTCGGTCGGATGTAGCTGCAAACAACTAAGACTGGCTAAGTTGATTGAATCCGAAAATTTAGTTCGGTCACACTCAGGTATTATTTCAGTCGTACTACCAATCATAATGAATTGGTAAGAATAATCTTGACCTGCCAAATCTTGACCTGAAAATAAATGTAAAACATAGAGTTTTTTTTATATATGGACTTTACAACAACAACTCCATATTAAAAAAAACTCTATGTTTCACATTTATTATTTTCACTCATTTTGGCAGGTCAAGATAATTCTTACCGATTCATATATACCAATTCAGAACACGATAACAAATATCGATATCCGCTTGAATATTTTTATCGGATATTTTTGATGAGTTCACCGAGCGACAGAGTTAGCTAGCCAAAAGTCCACAACTAATCGGCTGGCTACCCAGTCAAAACATTTCTAGACGGGTTTCGACACGAGAATTGGGATTGTTGAAGTTTTCATATTCGAATTAATATTACCATGCTCAGCAGCTAAATGAAGCGGTGTCACTTTCGAATGATCGGTAAAACCATTGGCTCCTTTTTCAATTAGAAGTTTAGCAACATCCTTGTGACCTGCAAAACAATTCAGATGAATGAAAGAGATCAAACCGGTTTCTTATTTAGTGGAAATAAATATTGAATGTTACCATTCTGAGCGGCTAAATGAAGTGGTGTCACTTTCGAATGTTTTCCAGCATTAACATTGGCTCCTTTATACATGAGAAGTTTAGCGACATCCTTGTGACCTGAGAAATAAAAATAATACAGATCAATGAAGGAGATCAAACCAATTGATTCAATAATGCTTAAGACACCCTATTGTTATTTTTTTACAGTAGCAAAAAAATTGCAAAAAAGTCTTTTCCGCTCAATGCGGAGTTGTGTCACTCTTGCTCGCCAATTTAGTTGTCTCTTTTTGGTCCAAAGTTTTTTTTCGTATTAACTATAGAAGAAGAACTCATAAGTTCAACTTTTCTCGAGTAAATCTAAGAAAAGGTTCGTAAGGCATCTACACCTTTGCGTATACCTTGTGTATACAATACATGAATAGGAGCGAATGGATATTGTTGTTTTCTCTTCAAAAAAGTTTACATCCAAAAGAAACAAGAATAAGATTCGTTTGCTTTTCTGCATGTATATGCAAGGCAAATGTTTCTATGGTTCACTCGGATTGTTTTCTGCGTGTCAATTTCTTATTTTGTGAAAACAGATGTTCAAAATTACCATTCTCAGCGGCTAAATGAAGAGGTGTCAGATTCAAATTATTTTTGCTGTTAACGTCGGCTCCGTTCTTGATGAGCTCTTCAGCGACTTTTTTGCGACCTAAAAAAATTACAGATCAATGAAAAAGATCAAAAATTTAGTGAAAATAAATACTCAGTAAAAACAATTTACTGAGTATTCGACATTACCATTCTCAGCGGCTACATGAAGGGGAGTCATTTTCAGATGATTTCCAACATTGACGTCGGCTCCTTTACTCATGAGAAGTTTAGCAACATTTTTGTGACCAGAAAAAGGATTACCCTTCGAAGCGGCTACATGAAGAGGTGTCAGATTCATATGATTTCTGCCGTTAACATCGGCTCCATTCTTGATGAGCATTTCAGCGACATTCTTTTGACCTGAAAAGCAATACAGATCAATGATAGAGATAAAACCAATTTCCAATTTAGTGAAAATAAATATTCAGCAGCTCGCTTCAGTTTTTTCATATGGTTATAATAGATTACCTTCTAATGAAATCGAATGCAAAAAACACGTAATGGAAAACTTCAATGTGTACAATGAATGTAGCCAATAAACCCAATAAACCCAAAATGAACTAACGCCAATAAACCCAATACAAAACCTTTTTTAGCAGCATAATGAAGACGAGTCTGACCATAACCATCTCCAATATTGTCGTCGCCTTCACTGTCGGTGAACTCTCCAGCAACACCATTATGATCTGAAAAATAATTGAAATGAAACCAATTTAACAAAGCGATATATATCGTCATGCTTTATTAAAAAGAAAAATCCTGTAGCAGTCACATTCACAGTATTTCACTGTAGTAAACTCGATTGAGTTTGACGTTTGCATGAAGCACCATCACTATACAGAGAAATTTAAAAATACACATTGCTACTACAGTGAAACGCTGTGACAGCGAATACTATAGGAATTGAGTATTCAACATTACCATTCATAGTAGCATAATGCTGATGAGGCGTCGGTTTCAAATTATTTCCGAAATTAACATCGGCTTGATTGTCGATGAGCTCTCCAGTGACACCATTGTGATCTGGAAAGTTATAATACAGATCAATAAGATAGTTTGAACCAAGGTCGCTTTCTTCGTATACAAATACATGGGAAAGATTTGACGTAAGACGCCAAGACGCCTCTACGCGTGGAATGCTCGAAGCTGTCATCGTACACATATTGGACACGAACATTTTCGTTTACACAATCGCACTCACACAAATGAACGCATCGATGGTGCCCGGTCATTATATGTACGATGACTGTTTTGAGTGTCCCTCGCCTAGAGTTCTGCGTGTCGTTTTTCTTCGTTTATTAAGCGATCTTGTTCGAACACACTCTTGTGTAACTCAAATACAATCAATTTTGACATTTCAAAAAGCTCCAAATAAAGCTTTTGGATTTATGGTACATTGCCGTTATAGGATTAAGAATTTTTATATTGATTTTAGCTCACACCGAACCAATCCACACATGAATTGTCCTTCATGTTCTTCATGTTATATCAAAAAATGCCTTGTATATGGAATTTTAGAATGGAAAATTGATAAATAAATGGAGCTTTAATTTTACCGTTTAGCCGTTTTACAGAATTGGTCGGTTCCGGTTTCGGAGCTGTTGATATTGCATTCACGTTTTGGAAAGCCGGATTCATAATAATGGACTTTCCATGTGGTTTCCCTGATCGATTTGGATGGCTTGCAGTCGCTTCACTATTATGCTTTGCGTGAGAGTCCAATTTTCCAACTTGGTTTTCGGCTG